GATGGTGATAGGGGGAGAACGATACTGAGATGAAGATAGGGGAGGGTGGGAGGAAGTGAGAGCTGAGTGAGAGGGTGTGGGAGCGCGTGAAATAAGAGAAGAGAGAGAATGAGGTGTGGGAGCGGGACACGAGGGAGTGAAACACGGAGGAATTTGAGGAAGTGGGGAAGGAGATTTGATAGGGAGTTAGGAGGGGAGAGAGAGACGGATTAGAGAGGAAAACACAGGGAGAAAGCCAAATAACAAATTGACTGTTGTGCTGATATCTGACAGCTACAAATAGCGATAGGGGATAAATGGTGCAAGCTAAATAATATTAATATAAGATAATTAATAATACAAATAATAATAAGAATAATAAATAACAAATATTAATTTAAAAGTTTTCACCGTAAAAAATTAAATTTATAATTATCAAAACCATTAAAATAAATATAAAATTGGATTTTAAAATCATAGAATATTCTAGAAAATTGAAAAATACAAATACTCTTTTAAAAATAATAATTTAATATTTAAAATACCAAAAAAATTATTTAAACTAGTATTAAAAATTTACGGTCATTACAGTTACGGTTTAATTATTAAGGTTATGGGTTTAATTGTTAAGGTTACGAGAGAGAGAGAATGGATCCATAACCTTAACAATTGACTCGTAACCTTAACAATTAAACTCGTAACCTTAACAATTAACCCGTAACCTTAACAATTAAACACGTAACCTTAACAATTAAACCCGTAACCGTAACAATTAAACATGTAACCGTAATAATTAAACCCGTAACCTTAACAATTAAACTCATAACCTTAACAATTAAACCGTAACCTTAACAATTAAACTGTAACCGTAATAATTAAACCCGTAACCTTAACAATTAAACACGTAACCTTAACAATTAAACCCGTAACCTTAACAATTAAACCCGTAACCTTAACAACAAATCCGTAACATACACAACAAACCCATAATCTTAACAACAAACCCGTAACCTTAACAACCAACCCGTAACCTTAACAAACAATGCATAACCTTTACAACCAACCATTATCCTTAACAACGAATATTCTAAAAATACGAAAAGAATAAAAAACGAAAATAATAAAATAATAATCTTCTTCAATCATTTCAATATTATCAAAGTAACATCATGAGAGAGAGAGAGAGAGAGAGAGAGAGAGAGAGAGGATTCATAACCTTAATAATTGACCCGTTACATTAACAATTAACTCGTAACCTTAACAATTAACTCGTAACTTTAGCAATCTCCCAATACAAACAATAAAAATAATAAAAAACAAAAATAATAAAATAATCATCATCAATCATTTCAACTATCATCTTAGTACATTATGATAAAGAGAGAGAGAGAAAACGAAAATAATAAAATAATCATCATCATATTTTTATAAAAAAAGAAAGAGAGAGAGAAGAGTATTATGGTCTTCACATATTTTAATCTTTTGGGTTTTGTGTTTTGGGGGCTCAGAAAACAGAATCTTTATTTTTGGAGATAAAATACCCATTGACCAAGTCTTGAGGGTGGAAAGCACGTTTTCTTAGCTTTTGGGGGCTGGAAGCATTTTCCCCTAAAATAAATTCCAAAGCTTAATGATTTTTTTTCAATTTCTATGTCGACTTGTCAAAGAAGCAAACAAATAAGTAGGTTCACGAGACTACAGATTTCGCTGGAAGATGGCCTTTCCCTCGTCGCCAGCACACGTGTAGCTCCTACCAGAGCCTTGCGGGCCCCACATATCCACCCTGTCAAAAACATCTCCTTTGTCTCACCCTGCAACTCCAGGACAAAAATCACTGTAAAAGACACCGATCAACTCCACACTGTACAATGTTCCGACCCAGACAGCGGATCCACCGATGTGAACATCCGAAGCGCCGAAAGATCGTACAACTTCCCAATATGACGATAATGCCCCTCAATAATGCTCTAATAACTGCTACCCCGCTAACAGTGCCATTTCTGTAATTTTGGTAAACTTTCCTTTTCTTCCTTTCTTCACCCGCCACTGCTGCAGTTAAAAAAAAGGTGATATTTTTGGAATCCGGGGAGGAGGAAGGAGAAGAGAATGTCAGAATTAGGGTTAGGGTTTGAAGAAGAGAGGAAGAAGAAGAGGAAGAAGAAGCAGCAGCAGCATCAACAGTACAAGCTCCATTCTACAACTACGGTAAATTTTCATCTCTCCGTCGATCATGCTTATTTAGTGGATTATTTTCCTTTCATTTTTGGCGTTTACACGAGAATTATCGGAAAAGCTGAGAGGATCTGTGAAATGTAATGGAGTAAATGGAAAAATTTCCCTTTCTTTTGCCATTTCAACAAATTTTTTTTTATGCAGAATTTTGATAAAAGAGTGTGTTTTGGTTCACCCAACAGTAAGAATCCAGGTGATAGGTCAAAAGGTTGGATCTTTTTACTGTTTTCCTACGGTTCTTTTTTCAAATCTCTATTATTCATTCTCTGTAGATTTTAAGACCCTAAATATCTTCAAATTATCATCAAATACAGTTGAAGATCAAGTTTTAGGAGACCAAGAGAAGGAGGACGAAGAAATCCTAAATCCAGAGAATCAATCGTCCTCTCTTTCCATTCAACCAGGCAACAATTTATCCCATTTCCCCCTTATTTTGTAGGGTAGTTTAAGCCCTAATTTCACTTGTTGTTGTTTTTTAATACGGAAATTGAAAAATGCTCGAGATCTTCAATCACGTTTTGGCTTTACGGCTGCAGGAAAAGATTTACAACACGAAGAAGATGAAATTCTCGAGGAAGAAGAGCTCCCAGTCCCATCACATCACTCCTTTCATTCTCCAACAGGTGAAAAACCAAGATGCTGATCATTATGTAAAAGATCCTATATATAATTTTTTAATTCAGCTCTAGTTAAAACCTGAAAGTAACCATCTCAATTTTTCACCTTTAGAAAAGATTTGGAACCAAAGGCTCAATTCTGAGACACACCCTTTGATCATCAACAAACAGTGGATTCCTAGAACCGTCTCCCTTGATCTAAACAGCCACAATGCTGCACTCCTATCCCCACAATTCTCTGTTGGAGGCATCACCAGCTTAAAGAAGAGCCCTTGGACACCAAACTACCAAAAGGGGTGGAGCTCAGAGCGGGTGCCCTTGCCAATAAATGTCAGACAGAGATATTTGTGCAATGGAAAGGCTCTTCCATCAAAATGGGAGGACGCTGAGAGATGGATCGGTAGTCCAATTTCTGTTGATGGAACAGGAAGATACATGCCCGCCTCATATTATAGGCGGCCTAAGTCAAAGAGTGGCCCCCTAGGATCTCATTCACCTCTGGTTCCGTGTTTTGATAGTGGGAGAGTTGTGAATGTGGCAGCAAACTCGCCATTTTTGGCTGGAGTTTTAGTGACAGATCGGCAGTGTTATGGTAGAGCCAGAGGGGAAGCTGGGGGGTGTCGTGGTGGGATATTTATTTCGGATAATGTTGAGTCTTATATAGTTCAGCAGTCGGCGGCTGTGCATGCATGGTCGGATTTGAGTTCTCAGGGTACTGCACGAGGTTTGGACTTTTACTACTCTCCTTTATTTTCTTTTGCAGAATCTTTTGGTTCTTGATGTCCAATGATCTCATTATGATAAATCCAAGTAATTCAAAGGTTTCTATAAACTTTGGGCATTGCGTCGTCGTAACTCACATATTTGTGTTTGCTTTGATTTTTTCTTGTGAAAAAAATGTTAGAAGTCTAGCTGAAACACAATTGTGTTTATTTTGGTATTTGTTCCATGTCGTGTTCTTTTGTTATCTTATGTAAACATATCATGTACATATTCAAGCAAAATACAAGTGTTTTGGGGCTCTTGGTAGTAAATGTTTCGTATAATGCAAGGGTACATGATAAAAAAAATGGACGATCTGCCAAACCCCTTGTCCCAAATTTAGCGTTCATTGAGGTGTCCTTTTGTTTCATATTTTATGACCCTACATCAGATTCAAATACAAATAGGAATAAATTACATGTTCTATAAGAGAAACTACCCAAAATCAGGATTACCCTTGACAAGTTGGAGGTATTGGGCCTAAGACTTTTGCTTCACTATAGACCTATACATAATTTCTCTTTCATGATTTTTCTCTTCACATCATGATTTGGGTTAGGCGTCCATGTGCATCTGGATACAGCAATTTTGGGGATCTGTTGCATGAGTCATATTCTTCTTTACAATTCTAGGACTATCTTGTCTATTAGGGTAATCATTGTCATGTTCTTCTTAATTGCTTCCAACCAAATTCTCTTAGGCCCTGCTTGACAACCTCTTGTCTTTCTTTCTCCTTTAAAATAATCTTATCATTTCTCTTAGGCTTACCTATAGCCCTCCTCCATGAATTGTGATCTCTTTAAAGTCAATAAGAACACTTAATAATTTGAACACTTAATAAATTGGTGTATTTATAGTAAGAACACTCCTAATCTTGAGCTAAGGTGCCTATAGTAAACTTTTTATTTTTGTGAATCCAAGCACTTTTAACTCTTCGGTTTATTTTGCGCCTATAGGATGACTGAGTAAAATCACATTATTTTTCCTCTTATAGCAGAGTCCTCGTCTTTTTGGGTTTTTTTTGCAGGAGACATGAGCTAAAGAAGAATAAACCTACTAGACAGCTAGCCGTTAATGTCCATGATGGATCAATCCATATCAAGTTAGCATTGTATTGGTGTCCAATTGACAAGCATTCTCAAATTTTCTCAATGCTTTTATGGAGTTTTCTCAACCTTTGGTTGTCCTTGTCCAATCCTTTCCAATCTAATGTTGAACAAAGCTTTTAATGCTAATAAAAACTGCTATCTTTTTTATGATTTCTAGAAGCTTGAAGCATTAATTACTTATTGTTTCAATGTCAATTTACACAAGATAAAGCTTAATGTAAGTATTAAACTAAGAAACTACTTTCATTTAGGATCAGCGGATCTGGTACCTATAGTATCCATATCTAAACCCAGTAAGTTAGGCAAGCATACCGGATCCTGATCCACTAATAACTATGTATATCTGAACTCATTTTAACCTCAGTATTATGACTTCTTCAAATACATTTATTGAGTTACTATTTAGTCAAAAAACCATAATTTATTCAAGTCAGGGGTGACCCATAAAGTTCAAATCGAGTATGGAGCGGATCTAAGTATCACCATACCCATTTATTTTCTTTTAGATATTGGATATAACGAGTAAGTACCAACATGAATAATGCGCGCGCACAAACACACTGGTTATTAGCAATGTAACACAACCCTCCTCCTTAGTCCTTATCCTGTCGTGGTATGCACGCACCCTAACACATCTGTGTGAATGCAAGCATGCATGCATGCTTGTGGGCGCGTGTATCTAATATGTATGGTTACATTCAGATGTCAAATGTGGAATCTGCATTCGAAATGAAGAATACAAATTCAAATGCAGAGTGTATTCTTAATATCCATATGCACATTACTAAGTTTATTATTTGTCACAAATTAACACTAAACTTTTAGAATTTTTAATTAAATAATTTTAAGAATTAAATCAATTTTTTTAGAAATATGCTGAGATAGGGTGTTACTATTTTTAATGGAATAAAATTAATATAAGAATGTGCTGTATGTCTTTTTAGTTTTGTTAACTATATATTATTAATTTATCATGTTTTCATCCACTATTATAACAAAAGTAGTAATTGAACAATTAAATTTAATAGTCTAAATAGTGAAAATTATCCCTCCAAATCGTATGTTGTCCATCAGTTTGTACCATATGCTCTTGCATTCTTTCTAAACAGTTTTCCAATGTAGTACAAATATTTGTTAATATGCTTGATTTTTTTCATGTTTTGGTTTGTGTTTTTGATATATATTGAAACACGATTTTAGGGTTTTGTTTATTAGAGAATGTAGTATTCTGAGCACTTTGAGAGGGAGAACTTGTGAGCGAGTTGAGAGATCATTAGTTAGGGTTTGTTCGAGTGTTTGAATGATTGTAACCCTTTTGTACTCTTCTCGAAATAGTGAAATCTCCCTATCCTCTCCCCGTGGACGTAGGCAAATTGCCGAACCACGTATATCTCTGTGTTTGTGATTGGTTTGTCGTACTTTGGATTGGATTGCACTCGTGTTTGGTTTGTTAATCTTCTCCTGTGACTCACGGACTTGTTTGCTTGTTGAGCACACTTTCGCAAATGTGCGCAATAATTGGTATCAGAGCACAAATTTCAGATCTAGAATTTTTAGCATTAGGTGGAGGAAGATTCATTGTGGAAGCTTGGTTCTTGGACTTCTAGGCTTCGGTGGAGATAGTGTTTGGGATTGCTGTTGAAAATTTCGCTTTTCTTGTGTGGTTAGGAGATCTATTTGGAATCCGTTCTAGGATTCAGTTAGGTAACTTCTAAATTCTATCAAGTTTAAATTTTTTCTCTATAATTTGGAGTTTGTGAGTATAAGTGAAGATGTTGGTGAAAGTAGCAAGATGGCGGGTACAATTCAAGTTGGTTTTCAGAACACTAAAATTAGTGTGGTTAAATATGACGACAAGATCAATTTTGGTTTATGGATGAGCAACGTATATGATGCGTTTAATGTTCAGAATTTGGAGGAGACCATCATGGTCCATGAGAGATCACTAAAATATAAAGATACAGTATGAGAAAAGATGAATAGGAACGCTTGTGGGGTGATCAGGTCCTGTTTGGAATAGGAGCTGAAGTATGATGTGATTGGGGTGACGTCTACAATGAAGATGTGAGAGATTCTCAACAATAAGTACCTTACGAAGAGTATTAAGAACCGTTTGCACTTGCTGCGAAGATTGTTCAGATTTTAGATGTCTAGAGGCACCTCACTAGTAGTTCATGTGAATAACTATACTAAGTTATTGTCAGTCTTGGCCAATGTGGATGAGAAGATTATGGATGAGTACAAGACTATTATTCTTTTGGGCTCCTTATCGGATGAGGAGTATGATACATTCGTGCTTTGTTGAACAAGAGATCTTCTATCACATATAGTAGAGTTATTAATGCCTTGACGAACTATGATTTGAGGAGGAAAGACAAAGAGACTTTTTGCGCTAGTACTTCAGGAGATGCCTTATCGACAAGTGGTAGAAGCCCATATTCGAAAGGTGATAATAGGAGCAGGTTAAAGTCTAGATGTCATCATCAGTTAGCAAAGAACCAGTGTGCATTCTGTAAGGAACATGAATATTAGAAGAGAGACTGCCTGGAGTTCAAGGAGAAGGAGAATGACAAGAAAAAAGGCTAGAAAATCAATGAGGTGAACGTTGCGAGAGGCGATTAGATGATTCGAGCTTTTCTCTATTGATTACTCCGGAGGTGAGCCATTTTGATGTATCAGATTAGATGCTTGATTCTGACGCTACTTATCATTTGACCCCTAGATGAGATTGATTTGCATCTTTTGAGAGTATCGATGGGGGTGGTGTTGTCATGAGAAATGATCAATCCTGTGACATTCGTGGGATAGGTACCGTGAGGATTCAGATGCACGATGGAGTAGTTCGTGAATTGAAGGAGGTGAGATTTGTTCCTCAGCTGAAGAAGAATTTTATCTCAGTTAGAGCTTTGGAGGCGAAGAGATTCAAGGTGACATTTGAGGATTTTTGATGGTGATAAAAGGAGTCCGCAGTCAGAACTTATATTATCTGAAGGGGAGCACTGAGATTGGTTAGGTAGCTTCAGCTATTTTAGAGGCGGACGAGCAGATTTTGGCACTACAGGTTGGGACACACATGAGAGAAGTTACTGTAAACGTTGTGCAAGCAGGGGTTATTGAAGGGAACCAAGAGTGGAAAGGTTGAGTTTTGTGAGCACTGTGTTCTTGACAAAAAAATGAAGGTAAAGTTCGGGACTGTCATTCATAGGACGAGGGGTATCCTGGATTATGTACACACAAATGTTTAGGGTCCCACCAAGACCATCACTTGGTGATCGACATTGGTTCGTCACGTTCGTTGATGACTATTCTAGGCGTTGTTGGGTGTATACTATAACGAAGAAGAGTGAAGTCTTAGATTTATTTGTGGAGTGAAAGAAGAGATTGAAATTACAGACTGGGAGAATGATTAAGACGTTGCGATCCGACAACTGCGGTGAGTACATATCAGACCCCTTTCAACAGCTATATCGAGACGAGGGCATAGAGAGATATTTCACAGTTAGTCATACACCGCAGCAGAATGGGGTGACGGAGAGGTTGAATCAGTATTTACTGGAGAATGTCCGATGCTTATTGTCGTAGAGTGGTTTAGAGAAGATCTTTTGGGCTGAGGTATTATCATATGCAAGCTACCTCATTAACAAGCTGTTTTCATCTGCGATTAAGGGGAAGACTCCTATGAAGATGTGACCGGGAGAGCCAGCACACGACTATGACCAGCTCAAGGTATTTGGGTGTCCTGTATTTTATCATGTGAAGACAGATAAATTAAAATCTCGAGCTAGAAAGGTCATATTTATAGGATTTAAGCGTGGTGTTAAGAGATACAAATTATAGGATCCAGTTGATAGGAAGATTATTGAGTAGGGACGTCACGTTCGATGATGCTTCTATCTTGAAGCTTCCCAGCTCTCATCGGGTAGAGAGCAACCCGACCGAGGAGATATCGCAGGTGGTGGAGATCGATGCAGTTTCACATTATCTAGATAGTATAGTACCCATTAGAGTGCCGACTGAGGTGACGCTAGCCGAGCACGGCGACGAAGAGAAGGATACGAGTACAGATGTGCAAGATCAGGGATCGACGGCTCAGCTTCAGGATTCTATTGCGGTTTAGAGACAATAGAGATATACAGATGCTAGCACGGTATACCAACACAGTAGTTACGTATGCACTTCTGGTGGAGAGTATCGATGAGTTGGTGACTACTACATTCAGAGAGGCCGAGCAGAATTCAGAGGTTCTCCAGTGAGGTTCAAGGCTAGGTTGGTTACGAAGGGCTATGCATAGGAAGAATGTATTGATTATAATGAGGTTTTTTCTCCTGTGGTGAAGCACTCTTCGATTCGGATTTTGCTAGTTTTGGTGACATAGTATGGTTTGGAGTTAGACCAGTTGGATGTGAAGACGGTATTTCTTCATGGTGATCTTGATGAAAAAAAATATATGACTCAGCCATTGTGATTCTGAGCTGTAGGGAAGGATAAGTTGGTTTGTAGGTTGAAGAAATCGCTATACGGTTTGAAGCAATCTCCTCGACAGTGGTATAAGCGATTTGATGGTTTTATGATTGGTCATTCGTACACTCGGAGCTAGTTTGATCATTACGTGCATTTTCGCAAGTTGAAAGGAGGTGCGTACATTTATTTGTTGTTTTATGTTGATGACATGTTGGTTGCTTCTATTTTCAGATCCACTATAGATGAGTTGAAGATTCAGCTTTCAAAGGAGTTTGAGATGAAGGATTTGAGTGAGACAAAGCGTATTTTAGGGATGGAGATCGGTAGAGACAAAGAGAATAGCAGAACTTGTTTGACACTAGTGGTTTATTTGAAGAAGGTTCTATAGCGGTTTAATATTAGCATGGATATGCAGCCAGTCAGTGTACCTTTGGGAGCCCATTTGAAACTTTCAGTTGACCTTTCACCAAAGACAGTTGAAGATCGAGAGTTGATATCGAAGACTTCATATGCGAGCGCAATTAGAAGCTTAATGTACGCGATAGTATGTATGAGGTCGGATTTGTCACAGGCAGTGAGCATGGTTTCGAGATACATGCACAATCCAGGAGTGGGTCATTGGGACGTTGTGAGATGGATTTTGAGGTACATTCGAGGTACACTCAATGTTGGTTTGGTTTATGAGCGGGACACTAAAGGTGGGCAGTTGTGCATTAGCTATGTTGATTCGGATTATGCCTGAGATTTGAATAAGTGTCGGTCTACTACGGGGTATGTGTTCACTTTGATCCGTACGTCGGTGTGTTGGAGATGTACCTTACAGTCTACGATGGTTTTATCGACGACGGAAGCAGAGTATATAGCAATTACAGAGGCTGTGAAGGAGGCTATTTGGTTTCGGGGATTTTTAGAGGAACTTGGTATTTCGCAGTGGTCCGTCACCATTCATTGTGATAGCATGAGTGCTATATATTTGGCCAAGAATCAGGTTTTTCATGTGAGAGCGAAGCACATTGACGTTCATTATCACTTCGTTTGAGATGTTCTTAAAGATGATGATGTGGAGATTATGAAGTCTACACGAAGGATAATCCGGCGGATATCACTAAGGTGGTTTCGAGCACCAAGTTTGATCATTGTCGAAACTTGTTGCACATTCATGATTATTGAGGTCGTTGATGGTCATTTTCTATAAACTACGGACGGCTTGATCCCTTGGGAGAGGGTATACGTAGACAGTCATTTTGATGCAACCGATTTTGGGTTCTCGACTTGTGGATTGAGTCCGTTGTCGTGGATTTATTCCACTTCGTACTGGACGCACCAAGTGGACGTTTGTTTAGTATTGGTGTCGGCTCATTTTTGAAAAAAACTTCGTCAAGGTGGAGAATTGTAGAAACGGCGTAAACAGCGACGAAGTTTAGGAAAAGCGAAGCAGGAATCAGTTTCAGCTTTGGCCGGTCGCCGCTGGCGTCAAGTGCGCGTGGCGACGCGGAAAGGTGCACACTACAGGGTGTAGTTTCGGATCTCTGGCCGTCGACCGTGACGTCAGTGCGGTCGACCGCGGGACCCTGTAATGCATTTTTTGTTTTCTATCATTCTGGTCAGTCGATCGCGACGATTTCGGCAGTCGACCGCCAGTCGGGTTTGGGTTTGGGCTTTATTTCTGTTCTGTTTTGGTTCGTGTTTTGATATATATATCTATATATATATATATATATATATATTGAAACACGATTTTAGGGTTTTGTTTATATCAGAGAATAGAGAGTATTTTGAACATTTTGAGAGGGGGAACTTGTGAGCGAGTTGAGAGATCATTGGTTAGGGTTTGTTTGAGTGATTGTAACCCTTTTGTACTCTCCTCGAAATAGTAAAATCTCTCTATCCTCTCCCCGTGGACGTAGACAAATTGCCGAACCACGTATATTTATGTGTTTGCGATTGGTTTGTCGTATTTTGGATTGGATTGCACTCATGTTTGGTTTGTTAATCTTCTCTCGTGACTTGCGGACTCGTTTGGTTGTCGAGCACGCTTCCGCAAAGGTGCGCAACAAGACATATAGAACATCTTTCCAATAGGAAATGGTGCGTCCTATATTCTTGGGCATGACATAAAAACACTAAATTATGAATGATGGGGAACAGAAACATAGCGATTTGTTGAGATTGATAATTTTGATAAAAAAAATAAAAAAACAAATATGGAAATTTGACTCTTCATTTAAAAATAAAAAAGATACAAATGTAGGTTTCACACCCACGCGCATCACATGTCGGCAACTCACATGTCTAATACTAGCTGCAATTCACACGCAGTGTTTCTCACAAGGATCTAGATTCTCTCCAATTAGGTGGTAATTTAAGATTCTCTAATTCCTCTAATTATTATCATATATTCTGAATTCAAGGGACGAGATTAGGCCATAATATAAAATCACTATGGCCTTAAAAATCACTATTTTTTGAGAACACTATTCTTTGAAAACCACTATCATAATAGTGGAGTCGTACATGGCATAATCTTGTCCATTGAATACGGAATATACAACACTAATTAGAGGAATTGAAATCTTTCCAATTACCATAGAATTGGAGAGGATTTGAATCATTCTCACAAACATTCTTCTTTCCTCAAATGAAAAAGTATGTCATTGTTTATGGAACTAAAACGAAATCCTCAAAATCCTAACTCTAACTAATGGCTAACATTAGGTCACACACCCTAATAAAATAACATATTTATTTCCAACTAAGCAACAAACTCAATAAGTCAATCCTAACTAAAGATCTCAATCTAAAGAAAAATTAAATCCTTAATAAAAAATCCCAATCCGATCACATCAAATCTTTTTGCCAGATTTAGATCCAAATTGTCCAACATCAAATGTTCTACAGTTGAAGGAACTTGACGGAGTTTGAAATTGAATATAACTGGACATCGAATTATTGCATTGCGGATGTCAAAGCACCAACAATGGATCTCTTCGGCTCTGATACCAAATGATGGGGAAGAGGAACAGAAGCACATCGATCTGTTGAGATTGATAATTTGGGTTAAAAATTAAAAAAATAAATATGGAAATTGCCCTCTTTTTTAAAAAATAAAAAGATAAAAATGCATGCTTCCTCACTCGATAGTCATTATTTATAGAACTAAAACAAAATCTAATTCTAACTAATCGATCATCAAATCACTATCCTAACAAAATAAGAGATTTATTCCTAACTAAACAACAAACTCAATCCTAACTAAAGATCTCAACCAAAAGAAAATCAAATCCTTAACAAGAAATATTAATCCAATAACATCAAATCTTTTTTTTCCCAATTTAGATCCAAATATGCGCTGCATTAGTGAACTTGCCAGCACATTCCTTTAAATTTATGTATAAGATAAGTATATGGCGCCCATTCTGACAAATGCTGATTATTTGTACACTGTGAACGTTTTGTGTATATATATCTGTGTACGCGTGTGTGCATGTGTGTGGGTGCATGTGCGAGCGCGTGCGTGCGTGACAGTGGACCGTTGGTATTTTTGTAAGTTTGAACTTCCAGATTTAAACCCTTGTAAGTAAGAATAGCATTACCGTAAAACAAAATGTTTAGTCTGAATGCATATTATGTCAGAGAAGGAATACAAGTTTAATGTTATGATAGAAATTCCTCAATTATATAAAAATTTGATGTGTTCTTAGGATATATTACCGTTTGTGCACCTTGTATAAATTTGTTGCAGATTTGATATAGCAAAATAGCAAATACTTCAGTATGTCAGGTGGTCTTCAATAACTTAAATCAGTATGACGAAATAGATACTTTAATGACAGCATGCTTAGCCCTTCGTATTTGTGGTTATATCCTGGTAGTAGCATCTTCTAGATATACATGCTCGGTTCTATATCGTCCAGTATCTAAAAAAATTCCTTTATGCTCATAATCTAATTATCTCTGGAGTTACTATTCAGATGAGAAATTCGACAGCAAAGGAAGTTCCATAGTTGTTTCTCCAAAAGTCTTGCTAAAAGACATGGCAACAGAGATGAGCCCTTCTGGAAGCAGTCATTCTTCCCCAGGTGAAAGCTCTCCCTCTCTAGTTCCACCATCAGCTGATCCTATTGTGGAGCTGGAGGCCCATTTCGCAAAGATGGAGGTCAGAGATGTGCAAGTAGATGGTCTGGTAACTGTGAGCAGGCATCCAAAGAATCATGTTTCCTCTGAAAGGTGTTTGCGAAACATCATAGATTGGAAGAACAAGTCTGAGGAGGATAACGCTTCTACTTTGGAGTCTGCAGATCCATCCAAATTCTTATCGGAGTAAACTTTAAATAGTTTTCTTGTTTCTCTTTTCTGTATAACTATTCAAAACATCTCAAAACTCTCTCTCTTTCTATTACTTTGCGCTGCATTTTCTACTGGAAAAGAATATAGAGTCTAGAGTCTGAGAATGTCTTCATGTGATGCACATTGACATCACCAAAATATTATTGTCATCTATAATTTTTGTTGCATTGTACGACCTGTATCAGTTGATTCTCTTGCTTCGTGATTCTCTTTGAGCATTTTGTTTTTCAACAATTTGTTTATAGAAAAAGTAAGCGTTCAATAATAATAATAATAATAATAATAATAATAATAATAATAATATTTGAGAACCTTTTTGGTCCCTCCTTGATATCCATGCCATATACCTATTTCCTGTATTAGACTTGTAATTTTATTCAGAATTCTTGCAGTTCACCCTTCCATGTTTATTATAGGTATAATAGGGAGGAAGCCAAAATCAGAGCATGGAGGAACTTACAGGAAGCAAAAGCTGAGACAGCAATCCGGAAACTAGAGGTGCTTCTCCAAAGTTGCATTATCCCCCATAATGATATTATGTTGTTAATTTTGCAAGAGCTATTGGTGATATATTGGTTAACTAGTTTGTAAGAATGATTCTCATATATTTTTTCAGCCTGATCTACTATATGGTTCTTTAATCAATGAACGTAATCGCTCACAAACTATTTAAATTGCAGTACATCTGTGCCTTCTTTGATACTTTTACTGTTTGCATCAGATGGAATTAGAAAAACAAAGATCTTCTTCAATGGATAAAATTTTGAACAAGCTTAGATCAGCTCAAAGGAAGGCGGAAGATATGCGCAATGCAGTGAGAGATGGCCATGCCCATCGGACTCGGAGGAAACACAGAAAAGCTCCATGTTTGCTCAGATCTGGTCATATGAGTTTTCTGGGCAGTTGTTTCACTTGCAAAGCGTCCTAGTTCTGGGTATTTTCTCCTTCGACCATCAATATTTTTCTTTAAATGCATGACCTTCCTTAGTGATACATATGAATGTTATAGTTTCTAAAGTATTGTGCTTAAACTTTACCGTGTTAGTCTCTGTCAATTCGAAGTTTTCATCTGTTACTGTCAAGGTCCTCAAACCTGCATATATATTTAAGGAATTTACAAACAAATATACGCTGCCATCTACGTATTGTGGACATCATCTTCTGACTGCGGTCTGTATCACAGTATATTTTTAACATAGTAATGAGATGCATGTTGCAATTGTAATCGTCCAAGTTAAGATTTTATTGCACTAGTATCAGCTCCATTCAATATGACCTTAGAATTTTTCTTTTTCTTCTTTTTTTTTTTGTTTTTTTTGGGGGGGGGGGGGGGTGTAGGGGTGGTTTGGTCAATGTTTGTTTAAAATAATCTACATGATTCTTAGTCTGTTTGAAGAAAAAGGAAACACAGTACTCTCTGATTGCTAAGTCTGTTCTGTAGTATTTAGAATTTCAGAAGATTCGACATTCTAAAGTGGTTTCTCTGCATTTCTGCTGCAAATAGTTTATATCAGATGACATGTTGCTTCCCCTACTTCATACTAAGACTCTTAGCTGGTCACTATCTACAGAAGTTACCTTGCTGTATATAACACCTTTTATAGTATTGTTGAAAGTTAACCCATTGGCAGGGAAAAGTTTGGGAATATGTTTTTTAGTTCGTTCTGTTCCTCTATGTTGACTTAAAATGGATGAAATTCCAATCGCAGTCAGAGCAATTTTTCTTTTCTTACGTGAGCTTAAAAGACATTGTGAATAAGTTGTTTGGCTGATAGGCTTGGCACCACATTAATCGTATTTGTTTCATGGTTTGGAAGTTGTTTACTATCTACAGAAGTTATCTTGCTGTATATAACACCTTTTATAGGATTGTTGAAAGTTAACCCATTGGCAGGGAAAAGTTTGGGAATATGTTTTTTAGTTTGTTCTGTGCCTCTATGTTGACTTAAAATGGGTGATATATTCCTATAGCAGTCAGTAATTTCTCTTTTCTTATGTGAGCTTAAAAGACATTGTGAATAATTGTTTGGCTGATAAGCTTGGCACCACCTTAATCGTATTTGTTTCATGGTTTGAAATTTGTTTACTGTCGATTGTCCTCTCTTTTCAACGTGAGACTAATTCCCAGCCTGCACCGGCCATATCAAACCCAGCTGACACATGATGGTATGTGAACCTAATACGAGGCCCTTTGTGCCACTTGGTTTACTAGATTTTATGTTTAATCCTTCAGCTTCCCATAGCTTGATCTAACAACTAGTTGCAAATTTTTGTCAAACTTTCGTTGGAGCCCTTTGTATTTCTGAACCTTACTCATGGAAGCAGTAGATGATGACCATAGTGATAGGGTGAGAGAGGTGCTATGGAGCCGCTTTGCATCTGAGAGGGCAAAAGAAGATGCTTATAATCGACTTGGCTGTATCATCATTTAAGATCTTGCATGGTTGACTTAAAGACTTTTCATACTGTGAATAAAAGCGGCTATAAATAACGGTGTCTTGGTAGCACAATAAAATGTCAGTAATCTTGAACAAAGATGTGAGTAGAGGTATTCTCTGAGATATCTGACTGGTTTATCTACGCCCTTTTCCTGCCTTCCAACTGTTCAGCTCATAGAAGTTGGGGACGTGGCATGCTATAGTGAACCATGACCTGGATTCAATCGTCCAGGATTCATGGTGGAACATGACTGATTCATAGCGACCCGATTTAGAATTCAAACCCATTAAAATTTTGGCAAATTTTTTTCAATAGAATAAACAACAAAAAACATGAAAAATTAAACAAATAAAGTATGCATACTTAAATTGCAACATAATTCTTAAATTTGACTATTGCAAAACCTCCGGTTCCTACATTTAAGAACTGAACCTAATATGTACCACGTTCCTTAGTGTACTATAGTCTATATAAGCCTCCCCCTCATACCAGATTCCTAATGAGTGGCGTGCCATGCTCCCGTACCTATCCCATGAACTGGAACGAATTAGGTTCGGTTCCATGCAACTATGGTTCAGCTAGACCTTTGAGTCTTTGACTGCTCAGCACACATTTAGCCATGTAACTGCTGGCACACGCTGACAAGCTCCGCTTTCCCCTTCGTCTAGCATAGTACCACCATTGTTGGCCTTCCCTTTGTCAGCAATTGATTTCCTTTACTCATTAGATACACATTTTCTTATTAATACTCTGGGCCATATTAGGATTCT